TTCAAACCTATTTTAGATGTGAACTATTATAGGAGTCTAGAGCCAGTATATTACACGTCGTAAGTCTTTATTGACCTTTACCGTCCTCTCAGTGTCTGGCCTGTCTCACCTATGTGAGACATCTACGCCATTTAATTTCTTCTGTATATTTCAATTCTATTTTTTTCTTAGTTTGCTGCACTCAAATGAAGGGTAGTGCGCACTGTGCAAGCTTCGGGTCTGATTCAATTTCATCAACATATTTCTCAGGCGCTTCTATTTTGTTTCAAATTCATCAATCTTTGGAGAGAAGCCTTATCACATTATTTAATGACATCGTATGTCTGGATACTTGCAATTGTTGTGGGAGACACCGGTTGATTCGTGGATACAGCTGGTACGATTTGTGCTGCTGTAACTACTGGGATACACGTATGACTGTGATATGAGGTTGAGGGCATTTTTTCAAAATATGAAGAACGGGAAATCTGGGTCATATGAAATTTCTACATTGACTTTGTTGGGAAATATCCACGCTGCTCTGAAGACTGGCTGTGGAAGTTTTCATTCCACTCACAATTTAGCAGGGTGCTTTTTTCATCCCAGACGCCCTCTCAGTTGTTATTGTTTTTAAAGAAAATCCCACTCAGGGGCCGGGGAGATGGCTCCGTAGAATAAGCGCTTGCCTGGCAAGTGCAAGGGTCTGATTTCAATCCCCAGTTCTGCCAAAAAAAAAAAAAGTAAAAAAATCCCACACAAAATTAAAAGAAAATATATATGTATATATTACAAACAATACACAATTTTACTGAACAAAATGACGGGAATTCAACAACAGTTGCTGTATTGCATATTATTGTGTTCAAATCAGTTGTTCAGGGTGCTCGGTTATTTTGCACTTGTTCTAGGTTGCCTTGTGCGAGTGCAGAAAACTTCATGGGTTTCACCTGTACTTCTCTCACGGCCAGTGATGGTTAAGGTTTTTTCATGTTTTTTGGAGTTTTGTAATTTTTTTGTAAATGTTTTGATCAGTATTGTTCGTCTCACTTGCAAATTTATCTTTTATGTGATGTAATTTGTTGGCGTCCTTTTATACTCTGCAGAACAGTCTCCATGTAAGGAAGACCTGGCAAGGTGTTTGTTTTTCCAATTCCTTATGTTTTCTCTTTAATGGATTGATGAACGGATTGATTCTTAATTCTGCAATCTTTAATGGTGTAATTCTGTGTGTCCTCCATATAGGCTATCTATCGTGTTACCTGAAATACCAATTAGAAGTCATCCTTTCCTAAATATACCATTTTAAATCGTGTCCCCTACGCGATTCCTCTAGCTGCTGTTGTGAAGATTAAGTGTGACCGCATTGGCGACCACGTGCATCCTTTTCTTTGCAGCAGCCCTGGGCAGCCTTGAGCCGCCTGGTTTGTCCGGAAATGCAGGGACCCAGCTGCGGACGCGGAGGCCCAGCGCAGCCCTGCACAGCCGCAGCCCTCAGTGGGCGCAGGGCTCTGCTGGCACCGCCAGCCGCGTGCGGGGCTCGGACCCTGCGGACCACCAGGCGCGTCCGCCTCGCTGCAGCGCGGCTCGGCCCGGAGCTCACGGGCGCCTGCAGGGTGTCCTGCAGGCCGGCGACTCCCACCAGCCCTGCGCGCCCGGCTTCCCCCAGGGAGGACCACCACGTCGCAGGGCGCTCCTTCTTTGCCTCCTCGGGACTTGTGTCAGGGCAAATGACAACATCAGGGCCACACCGCGCCCGTTCTTTCCCAGCCAGACCTGCCACGGTGACCTTAATCCCAGCACGTGCCGTGACGTGCACGGGGACGACCGTGTCCACCTCCTCAGCTCCTCTGGCCAGCGTGACCAGGGCTCTCGTTGAAGCCATTTTCACGTTTCTCTTTTGAAAACTTCAGACAACCTAAAGCGGATGCGCTCGCCTCTTCTTTTCACCTGTAGTGAATGCTTTCTGCGTCCCCCCTTCAAATGCTTCTGACCGTCAGTAAGTCATAAGTTAACAGCTATTAACGCATTCCATTCAGATTACTCTGTATCTGGGTTGCTCAGGAATATTTTAAACAAGCAGGATTATTGGATTTACTCAAGACTTAGCTTTTCATTGAGTGATACTAACATGTAAATTTAGATATCACTTCTGTTTGTATGTTGTAGTTTAGGTATTTATTTCCATTGTTGCTATTGTGGTTTAAATCCTAATTGGTCATGATACTTGATATTTTAGTGATGACGTTCATTCTATGCACAAATATCTCCCTCAAGGCAGTTTCATCTACGACCATGAGAGAGATTTGGCCAAAATATGTTTCTGTACTTTGGTGTCTGTCTGCTTCTGGACTAGACTGCTGCAAACCTCCACAAGTGAGCTGGAGAGAATTGTATCATTTTCTAATTTATTAAGTAGTACTAGGAATGTTGCTCATATAATCTTCTAGAAGATTTTGTAGAACTCATGATTACATAAGATAAATTTGCTAAATATTGTGATTTTTGTACTACTCTGTTTCAATTTGATTATTATTTCATTATTAACTATTTATACTTTTGGTTAAGCTGCAATAATGTGCGTAGATGTATGAATGCATCAATTTCTGCAAATGTTCCCAGCATGTTGGCACACAATTTTTCATAGTAGTGAGAATCTTCTGAACTTTACAGTCGTCTATGGTGATTTAGTCTTTTCAAATTTTTACTGAATTAGCAGTATATTTCTCTATGTCTTGTAAATTTCTCTAAGGGTTAATTTATTTTCTTCATTTTTCAAGAGAAGATCTACAATTGGCTGCTTGTATCTATTAACACTTTGTGTCACTTTCTGATTTCTGCTCTGACCCAACATCACATTTTCGTTTATGTCCTCATTACTCGTTCACCAAGCTTCCCATCAGGGAGTCGAATTCCACAGCACTCGTCATTCCATCTGCTTGATGCATCACTACACAGACATGTTATTCCTCATGCAGCGCAAGTGTGCAGAGCATTGATCTGTTCTAAAAGTGTCAGTGCAAGATCTATCTTTCATAGTGATTTGTGCATGGATATACTGACTGAGTCATGACAAGAAACACTTCTGTCCGGAAGAGTCATGCTGAATCTAAATAACTGAACTCAAGCTCCTCAAGTGATAGATGCCATCTTTGGGAAAAGAAGAAAAATATGTCCCTGGAAAAAATTCTCTTACGATGAAAATTTCACATAAATTACAAGATATCCCCAGTATACTACATCCCCATTTCAGTGAATTCAAAAACAAGCTGAATGCAAAAAATAAGAAAATTTATGCATACCTACGGGAACATGAGAATACAATATAAATGATTCAGAATATTTCTCAATGATCAGATGAGAGTGGATATAAAATAGAAGAAAGCATGTAGCAGTTTTATATTGTGAAGATTATATGTGATGTAGAATCAATATCACACTGCACGATGAAGTGTGACAATATTTATGCAAAAATCAGGATATAGCTTGGGTTTATCTCAGCATTCCCATTGAATGGAGTACTTCCAGTTTTATCAGAATCAAATAAACAGCAGACAATTAAAGAATAGGAGTAAGAGAAGATGACAAGTATAAAAAAGATAAATTCATATTATTCATATTGGTTAATGAAAGAATCTGTTAAGTTACAAGCCTTTAGAATTCCATGAGCAAATATAACCAAATGGCAAAATAAATATTGTGCTGTGGAAAGCAATAGGCTTTCGACATGTTAGAAATTGAACATTAAGCAAAAATACAGGGAATCCACTATTCACAACTTCCAAATCTAAAATAGGCAGAGAAAATAAACCTAACCAGAGAGTAAAATTATTCTGCATAGGAAATTTGAGAACTTTGAGTAAATAGATTATAACCACATGCTACAAGATAGAAGAATTTTATGTTGTAGATTTAGAAAATGACACAGAAATCATGCATAAGTAGGGATGGGTGTGAGAACATGAGCGGATTTTAGGTACTCTGTTTTTCTGTGGGTTAATTTCTTTGTTAGTTCACAGATTAAAATGATTTTAACTGTTGAAAGCTCATTCAAATAAGGAATCAAGTGGTCCATGAATTGGGAGGGAGTGCTCTTTCGCTGCCCCAACTTCTGTGAACCCTTTCGTATAATAAGGTCTACTTCAATTTCTGTGAATGAATAAATATTTAGGCAATAATGAGGGCTCTACCATGATATTCCACCTTGATGCCAGTCTCCCATATGCATCATATGCATAAACCTGATACTGTGGCCAATATATATATATATATAACTTTTACCTAATGGGAGAAAAGAGGAAATATCATGTCCCATAGTTTTGATGCAACGAAATTGATATTAGTGTAACAAACAATATCGAAACAGAGGTATATATTTACTGCCCTCGAAATCAAAGTACTAAGTAAATTCTTCACAGCTCTAGAAATGAGATCTCAAAACATATAACTGAGGACAATACACTAAGAGAAAATACTAAGGAAAATCTATGATCAAACAAAAGTGGACATGTCAGTGTAGCATATACAAAGTATACAACAAACACAGTGAGAAAAACAGCAACATATTGATGTAAGTGTGCACTTCTAAAATACAATAGTGTACACTAAATAAAGCACAGACATCTGTGCATATATATTTTTTGAAACATTAAATTTCCCATAATAAAAATTCAACTTTTTTAGAAAACTATTTTGAAAACTGTTCACTGACATGCAGAAGAGTAAGCTATCTTCCAAAAGTTCACTTATGATATTTGTACTCATGATAGAGTATTCCTTAGTCATAATCAACAAAAAATCATGTCAAGATGGAACAGTAAATCTGTTCAACAGATAGCCAGAGGAGGGTAACCAAATATTAACTTTATATCTCCCATATATTTGAAATACAAAAGATAACCAGAGTGATTGAAAGCTGTATTTTACAAACTCATTGCCCCGGCTATCTTCTCTACTGAAACAGCATTCGCATTTTTACCTGCATTATGATTGTTTGGGAAAGCTGTTTGTTCTCCCTTCCATAGGATTTGTGTTTCATCCTTGTGAAAAACAAACTCCGATTTGCCGTATGGACATTCTGTGGAGGATAGAGTAAAAATGGATTGCTAAGTTCATAGAAACAAATACTTTGCACTATGACGGAGGCCGAGGAAGCCTTCCTAGAAGATGTACAAAGGCTGTAGATAAGAAGCACAGGCAATGAGTTAAGTGAGAGAATAGTGGAGGTTGTTGATTAGATTTGCAGGTAGAAATAAAATCAAACAAGCTCAAATGTCACGTGAATTTGGTCTTTCAGAATACACACACACACACACACACACACACACACATGAAAAATAGAAAAATTTATCTTTTCTAAAAATTACTAGAGTGTGGCTTTGAGTGAAGGAGGAAGAAGAGAGGGAAGGGGAAGAGAATGAAGGTGTGAGATGGGTTCTACACATGCTCCCCTCTCCAGAGATGGAACCTTGTGGACTAAACAAATACTGATAAAAACGAAGAAAATGTGAAACATATGTTTTCACATGGAAAATATATACATTCTTCCCTGATACACAGTACACAATTCAAAACAGCATCCAATACAACCTTCTCAACTATAGTCACAGTCCTTTAATTTTCACAGGTATCATAAGCCTCATCAGAATGCTCAGACAAAAGTCATCCATAAAATACCTGATGTATTTATAATGTCCATAGGTTTTACTTCTTTGAGTGCTCAGCATTTCAAGATTCTGCTTCATTACATCCCCAAATAATTTTGAAGGGTATTTAGAGTATGATAAAAATATATTTTATATAAAAGTAAATGAAATGAGCTTTGACATGGTTGCCATATACAAGAATGAACCTGAACAAAGACGGTTAGGGACACGGGTCATGTATCCTAGAAAATGTGGGGTGATGACAAATAGGATGGAAGGCAGGTGCATACATAGTTACACAGACACGTGGCTAAAGAGACTCACCCAGGGATTGCAGGTTCCTGATGGTTTCCAGCATCACAGCTCTGTACAGTGTCCTCTGTGCTGTGTCTAGCAGAGCCCATTCCTCTGGGGTGAATGTGATGGTCACATCTTCAATGGTGATTGATTCCTACATAACATGCACATCCCAATTTAGAGAGAGGTACTGACAAACTGCCTGGTAAGTAGGCTGAGAGGACAGCACTGAGGAGGGGGAGAAACAGCACCCATGCGTGGGACAAGCTGGTCAGGGCAAAAGTCCAGCCAGTGTGTCCATCCAACAGACAGGCATCTAATGTCAGGTACCCACCATAAGAGGTATATAGGGGCTGGGGAGATGGCTCAGTAGAATAAATGCTTCCCTTGGAAGCACAGGGCCTGATTTCAATCCTGCTACCACAAAAAAAAAAAAAAAAAAGTGCATAGGGCTGGTGAGATGGCTCAGTGATCTAAAAGCACCTACTTAGAACAAGCTTAGCAAAGCACAGGGACTGCGGTTCAATCCCCCAGCACCACATGTCAGCCAGCCGCGCCCCCTAGTGGGCTGAGCTGGCCACACACACACACACACACACACACACACAAATAAATAAATACATTTAAAAAAGAGGCATATATCAATTCATACAAGGATTTTTGCAGAGTATCACATGAGACCTGGTATAGAAAATGTCCTCGACTTTATGCCATCTACATGTTCTAAAAAATTAGCCTTCAAATAATGAAAGAAAATTATAAATTTATTTGTTCATGTACTTTAAATACACATCACAATGTATATCATTATTATGTTTTGTGATTTTACAGCCAAGCTTATTGCTCCTTCATTTCTACCCAGGTATCTGGTATTCCTTGGGTATTAAATGCCTTCATGTACACGCACAGCGTAACTTGAATAATTACACTGCTGATTTCTGCTGGTCTGCTGAAAGGGCAGTCAATGCTTAAATTATTTTTTGTCTTCTCCTTTTCACATAAAAAAATTTCGTGCTTTCATCTGATAATCCAAAGAGCCAGTTGAAGATAACATTATGCAACAATTATTGCTCAATTTCTGCTATGTTCTTTAGGGAAATGTTTTAATGTCTTATTTATTATTTACTATTTTAGATTCTCTTTAAAAATAAAAAAGTAAAACAGACTTGTAAAGCAAAACAAAAATAGGCTTTTTATTGTGTCCTAACTGTTAAAAGATCCACTATATTCATTTCACTACAACATGTACTATAAATTACTATTATATTGTTTGGAAAAAATATAACAAGAATGTAAGCCATCACTTCCATCTATGAGAATTAGAGAGTTTTCCTACATCATAAGTTCAGTCTTTGCAATAATACGCCTTTATTGCTCACCACGCCACAGAGGAGAGTAAGTCACTGACGCAGACTCCTAAGCAGTAGCAGCAGATGCCGCTATGACCTTTATCCTGAGGACAGCTGTATTCTGAACATTCCTGATCTATGATCATGCTCAGGATTTTCTGAAATTTTAAATAGCATCCATCATTTTGATCTTTTTTAGCCATTCCTGTGATCACATCTTAATGAACCCTTTTTAAGCCATTGTTATATAATTTTTTAAAAAAATTTCTTAGCGTGGGGCTGGTGAGATGGCTCAGTGGTCTCAAGCACCTACTTAGAACAAGCTTAGCAAAGCACAGGAACCACGGTTCAATCCCCCAGCACCACATGCCAGCCAGCCCCGCCCCCTGGTGGGCTGAGCTGGCCACACAAACACACACACACACAATAAATAAATAAATAAATAAATAAGTTTAAAAAAAAATTTCTTAGCGTGATATGACCGTGACATCAAATAAATTTGAGTGATTTTTAAAATAAATTAACCATTTATTTAACTAAATGGTTAATTTAATTAAAATAATCATTTCTAGTCCATTGATTTGATGATACGTTCAGGAAAATAAATTGGACATAAATTTTAAATGTCACTATGCTTATATCGCATGATATTCTCGAAATAGAATTCACAAAAAAGAAAGACAGACAATGAGAAATAACAAGATATATAATTTACAAAAGCAAAGAAGAAGGGAAAATGAAGTGTGTTGGGAGAAGACACTGCAAATATGAAGCCGTCGTACATAAATGCATCCAGCATGCATATGGAAGGCAGCCACTACTCAGTGAAGACATGAACAATGAAAACTGTAGTAAGATTACCCTTGTTTTCATTGTTAGCGTTTTTATTTTTCTAGCCCATGTCTCTGTGTCTGCCACCAGTGAAGCTGATGACCTTTCTGGTGGATGCTGTGCAGACACCAAATATAACTTTGGCTTAACTGAATACATCACCCACTAGCCCACAGCTGAGTTTCCCACATTTCTTCTCTTGAGCCCGATTTTATAACATCTTTGTCCAACAGAATGTCTGAGTTTCTTGCGTGAATTGGATTCGTGTACAGAGCACAAGGAATTCATTTTATGAATACGTTCTGCCCCCTCGTCTCTCCTATTTCAATGGATTAATACTTACATTCCAGTTTCTACTACATTTCATCAGGGTCCTTCTTTTTTTAAAACTGGAAATTGAATCCAAGACCTTATATTTACCAGGCAAGAGCCATCTGCTGAGCTGTACACCTAGTTCATGTTCTTTCCTTAGAGCTTATATTTCTAATATAAGGGAACTTACATTTGTGATAAAGTTAAAAACATTATTCATGAAATAAAAATTATTCCAATGCTTTAGTAATTTTACTGGAACCGCTTTAAAGATATTGCTTACCACAAAAGTCTGCTATGCT